ACACGTTCGTTAGCGCCGAGCTTGTATCACTTGCGTCCAGCCTGGTAGAGCATTTTTCTCGGACTTGACCTTGCAGGAGTCTGAGCACTCTGAAGCACCGTTGGCTTCATGAGCTTTGGACATTCGATTGAATATCTTCCGCTGAAGTGGATACCGTATACCCGCAGCCCCACATCCATATGCCTCCACACCGTACGGTGAGGATGAATTAAGCCGAGTGGGGTGCTTCGGCGAAGCTTCGAGAGAAGCAGAGCAAACAGAAGTGTCGTGCACGGAGACTAGTACTCATGCAGATACGCTTTCTCGACTGAGCGTCGCGTCGTCGGCCCATCTCGGAACATCTCGCAACACAAGGGTGCTTCTGCGCACGTGATCCAAACAACTGCCGCCCGCTGCTCACATCCGCCCACGGTCCATCGAGACAACCCCCACAGCCACCACCGTCATGTCATCCGTCCATGCTCGCCATCCTCCGATCCCCGCAGCAGCTGCAGCAGCAGCTGCAAGGACGACAAAGTCAAGACCGAGAGCCTCAACGACGCACTGACACGCTGAACGGAACCATCTGGCCCATTGAGGAACGGATGAGACACAAGCGACACTCTAGCGAGTACCGGGCTTCCGGACAGGGTGCGCACGCGTGTACCTCGATCTTCCAGGTCCTGCTCACTCCCATCCCCGCTGGCATCCGCCTGGTGCCGAGAGCTTTGCGCCTCATCTTCGGAGTTCGAGGGTTGGTGCATGCGTGAGCTCCGCACTTATTCAGATAAAAGAGTGGCAGGAATCGGGTGCACTTTGATTGCGCCTATGCGCTGGAATTGTTTGTCGAGGCCCCGCAGAGCTGTTTGGGGTTTTAGGGGTTCTAGCGATGGTCTGTGTCGCTTAATGTCAAGTCAATTTATCCCAGCTTGGGACGCGTCGCTGCGGGATTGAATAGCTTCATGGGGTGGCCAGACAAAAAAGCGTGGTCGTGCCACAACAGCTTGTACAGTTCTTCACAGGTCCTTTACCAACTTACTCGTACCTGCATCTCCACAAAATGCCGGTGTGTGAAGGCCCCTTTCGCTGCGTGGATGATGTACCTCTTCCTGACGCAGGACCTTGCCCAAGCTACTTGGAGGTAGCGATTCCGGCCTGTCGAACGCCAGGACCACAGGAGGTACTTGGTGGAACTCGTAGCACTGGCTATACAGTTTGCCGGAACAGTGTCGGGACCTCGGGGGAATGGGGAATGGATTTTCTGAGCCCTGCTATGCTGACTTACGCAAACCAGTTTAACCCGAAGCTTCTTTTTCTTGAAGCTTATCACAGCCGACCACGGCCCACGAAGCATCGATGGGCCCAGGGTCTACTACATTCCCGGCATCATGCGTCTGGAGCATGCCTGTTGGAGGGGCCCTCGGGATGATATCGGCTTGGAAAAAAACCCGCTGCGAATCCGCCGGTTCGTGAGGCTGAGCTGGGCTGATAAGGCCTGCGGTAGTGCGCCGACCCCGGAGGACCTGTCCCACGTGACGGTGCCGATGTAGCGCAGAACTGCGACGGCAGCTCAGGTCTGGATGATCTTTCCGGCTTATGTGTTCTGGCGCACGCTGACCAGCTACAGGACCAAGGGGAAGATTTTGCTTGGCCGCAATCATAGGGCGGGGGGGTGACGCTCTCAACAGGATCTCAGGCCTGATCCAAGAGTCAGTCGGGCAATGGAAGCCAACATCTCGTCTCGCAAGGAATGGTGACAGCAAGAAGCACACCTGAGCTCCTGAAGCTGTCGTCGAAGGCCTGTACATCCACAACTGGATCTTGATCCTCATCAATTCCTACGGTTACATCGCCTATTGCCTATTAAGGCCTATTACTATACTATTGCTATACTGTTACTATACTATTCCTGTCGTCTGTCGTGATTTTGTACCCGATTTCTGTGCGGGACTGGTCAGGCTTTCCCACTTGCCGCTGACAGCGACCTGAGAGCCCTTGGGCGCGCCATGGGCACGAAGAGGAAGCAGTCTCCAACTGATGAAATGTGTATTGTTGGCATGCTAGACTGTGGGTATATTTTATATTATCTTCTTGGTATATTCGGCTTCTTGGTGCAGTACATTGCTTCTGTTGTACTTGTCAGTGTGGTAGACTCGAGGCCTCTTCCGCATTTTGCTGCGGTGTTTGAAGCCTTGCCGCTTGGGCAGTGCTAGACCACGCGACTGGAAACCGCAAGGCGTTGCGAAAAAAAAAGCTTCCTGACTGCCCATGAGTGGTTCGGCTAGAGGCCACCTTGGCCCACCGGAGCCCGACATGCATTCCTTGTGCTGTCCCACGCTGAGCCCGCTCTTCACCTGCAGCTGAGGCATGAAGCTGAGCTTGCAGCCTCCAAGCTGCAGGCGCTCGCGAGAGTCGACGAGACCACGAGGGTCGATAGCTGCATGCTAAGAGCTACCTTTTAATGGCTGCTATGTGGGGGTTTCCGAAAATAGGGGACCCTAATATAGCACCCTAAATAGTAGGATCCTTATGGTAAGAACGCCAAAATAAGGTACCCCTAATTTTCGGAAACTCCCATGTGGCCATGGGCTCAGGAGTCCCAGGGAGGAGGCCCGGGCCTCAGCCTCGGCGGCCGCGGAGCGTGCGCCTCTTGCATGGGTGCTTTGCACAGGGCCAGTTACGGCTGCCGATCGGACGCTGGAGAGCCGCCTTGTCTTTGCCCTAAACCCTAAACCCTTAAACCCTAAACCCCTAAAACCCTAAACCCTAAACCCCTCAAGCCCTAAACCCTAAAGCCTAAACCCGAAACCCTATAAACCCTCAACCCTCATCTCCACAAGGGGGGACCGGGAAGCTTTGTGAGGAGCCCTGGGAGCTGGAAGATGCCTGGTGAGTCCGTGGTCCGATGGCTAAGCTCCAGAGGACCCCGACGCACTGAAAGGCGGTTATTTTATATGGCAGTATAGTATAGTATAGTATAGTATAGTATAGTATATTATAGTATAGTATAGTATAGCATAGTATAGTATAGTATATTGCATTACATTACATTATATTATATTATATTATATTATATTATATTATATTATGTTATGTTATAGTATATTATGGTGGTGTTGCTTCGCCGGCTAAACGCCCTGCTTAAGGTGGGGAGGTTGGCATTTAATCTTGCAGTGGTTCACTTTTGGGCAAGATTCCCGAAGCGGACGCTCGTGTGGCCAAAACCCAAAGCAAATGATCCTAGGCCTCTGCTTCGAGACGGCTCCAAACAGACCTCAACTCGAGTGTCATGTTTGTGCAAGGCCTGCCGACAGGCAGATTCTGAAGCAGCCATGGGTGGGCCCGATAATATGTCAAGCAGCTCAGTTGCAGGGTTTTCAGGAAGGATGCTCACGGTTCCATTTGTTTGGGTCGATCGAATCGGACTTCCTTAGGTGGTGACACGGTGTGCGGTGCCAAGGCTAGGCATAGTTTTCTCAAGCGCTTGGCACGAAAGCTTCCCCATCCTGCTCAATTCGCTAGCAAGTCAGGGGGAGTGGTCAGGATCTTGCTTCTGTATTTCTTCTCATCCAACTTCCACGACGAGCCATCCTCAATTTTCCTGCAGCTTCTGTGCCACAGCCCCTGCATCTGCAGATAGTCTGTGCAAGCTTTCGGATCTCTGAGACCTTTAGGGCCAATTGAGGAGCATGAAGCTGCGCAGAAGAAAAAGTCACCCTTCCCTCTGCTGAGCAGTTCCGCGAGCCACCGCGTCAGAGTCCTCCGCTTCGCAGCCCTTTATGGGGGTTTCAAAAATAGGGGACCCTACCTAACATAGTACGCTTTACCAGTAGGATCCTTATTAGGGACCCAAGTTCTGATCCGTTTCGATGCCCCTCGGTGGATGGAAATGCAGGCTTCCTAGACAACAATAATAATAAGAATAAGAAGAAGAATAACACGAGCTCACGAAGCCACCGAACTCGACAAGCAGACATGCCGGCGGCGTGAAGGCAGCCAGGCTCGCGAAGGGGACTCGACTGGAAGTTCTGGTTCACGGCTGCCCTACACGGGCTGCCAGGAAACAGAATGGGAGGCCTCCCGCTGCCAGGAATCCCGGCCCTCGCAAGCCAAGAGTTTCTGCGTGACGGTCTTCAGGCACGGGGGCGAGAGGCTCGGGATGCGTCTGGAGGCCATTTCTGGCCTAGGCTACCATTCGGCAGCACGCGTGCACAGGATCTTCGAAGGTGGCCTCATTGAGCGATGGAACCGGACGCAGGAGTCCAATGGCCTGCAGAAATGAACAGTCCAGGTTGAGGATGTCATCGTAGGCCTGAACGGACAGCACGAGTTCTCAACTTCCAGTTCGGAGTTTCGGACGGCTACCACGGTGAACCTGTTGATCATGCTGGTGCCTGGGCTTTTGCTTCCAGGGCATCTCGCTGACAGCCCCGCTGGCCATGGACAAGAATACCACAGGGAGGTCGATTCGTCCTGCCCGATGGACGTGCCCAAAATCCAGACAGACTAGAAGGCAACATGATGTCTATCGGCATGCTGGGCGTTTCGTTGACAGGGGCAAGTTGCACAAGGCTTTCAAGGACTCCAAGCAATGCTGTTGTGTGCAAGATGACACGACGGCAAATGGGCTAAAGCGTGCAGTGGAGCAGTTGGTCGGGTTTGTTGACAGGTGCAAGCTGCACAAGGTTTTCAAGGACTCCAAGCAATGCTATTGTGTGCAAGATGACACCACGGCAAATGGGCTAAAGCGCGAGGTGGGGCAGTTGGTCAGTTTTGTTTGCAGGGACAAGTTGCACGAGGCTTTCAAGGACTCCAAGCAATGCTGTTGTGTGCAAGATGACACCACGGCAAATGGGCTAAAGCGCGTGGTGGAGCAGTTGGTCGGTTTTGTTGACAGGAGCAAGTTGCACAAGGCTTTCAAGGACTCCAAGCAATGCTGTTGTGGCGAGGATGACACCACGGCAAATGGGCTAAAGCGTGTGGTGGGGCAGTTGGTCGGTTTTGTTGACAGGAGCAAGTTGCCCAAGGCTTTCAAGGATTCCAAGCTGCTCAAAAACAACGGCCCGTGCTGGGTCATAGTGGACTTCAAGACGGCAGTGGTTCTCGCTTTTTTCGCCCTTCATGCTACGGAAGTGTTTGCATAGCTTCCACAGCGCTGCCTGTATGGAGTCACATAGACCAGAAGCACGGGATTCAACGCGGGAGATCCCTTAGAGGTCCCCATGCGTGCTGGTGGACAGAACGAAAAGCTCTCGTCGGTGGCCTTGTAATAGAGAAAATCAGGTCGCTTCCTGCATTGAGGTCGCAGAGTTAGGATGTTGTGGAGCATCTTGCCTGTTGTGCATGGAGCAGCTTGCATTGTGAGTGATGTCGGCTCTCAGCTGCCATGGGAGAACTTTGACAGGCCCGGTGCTGAGTTTAGTGGGTGAAAGTCGTGGCGGCACGGTGCACCGCGGCTAGAGCTGTTGGAGGCCTGCGTTTGTTCGATGTTTGAAGTAGAATTATATAGGAGTTTAACTCTGCGCAGCTTGCCGAAGCATTCAGTCCTGTTCCAATCGCCGTCTCGGCTCTTGGCCTCTTCTTTCTCAGAGCATGGTGGCCCCAGTCTAAGCTGATGGTACATGCCGGAAGAAAGCGCGCCGTGGAATCCGTCTGAGACTGTTTTGCCATCGCGGCTCCGAAGGCGAAAACGCTGCCGACTGGTTGAGCCTGGCGCAGTCCCTCGCCATGGTCCTACTATGGCTATACTATAGTGCATTATAGTACATTATAGTACATTATAGTACATTATAGTTAGACCCATTCCGGAGAGCAAGCTTCGTCCCACAAGCAACGGCCTGAAGGTTGGGGATGTCAGCGCGGCCGCCGAACTTGCCGGTACTGCCGCTGCGGCAGGATGTCCTGCTCAGTCGTGGCCTAAGCACAGGACACCTGACTCGGACATGTGGGGCTTGAGCCGGACAGGCACGACACTTTTCGAAGAGATCGAAAACGGATTGTCGGAGGCCGGCTCATGTGACCGAGACAGGCCTGTGATAGTTGCTTTGGAGAAGATTTGACAGGAGTTCCTGCAAGAATACACCGGCGTGCAAGACTTGAACGAGGTGACTTTCCTGGATCTCCAGGCCCAAGCGTTTTTTCCCGAGGTGTGAAGGGAAGACCATACGGTCCAGTCTTAAGACTTCCTAGGTGGATGCTGTCGGCGTGGGCGAGCGCGTGGCATGCCTAAGCCGGGAGAGGGGCATGAGGCTCCCATCTCCGGGTTTCCGGCAGAGCCAGCGATGAAGTTTCGGCCTACGCTGAGGTGGAGTGCCTCGGCGAGTTGCTGCCGAGACTGCAGCAGTGCAGAACCCGGACATCCCTCCTAGTTTTTCAATTGAAGTTGCGATGCTTTTCAGGTTGCGCCTGAGTCGGTCGCACATTTGATCCGAGCTCAGCGCTTTCGTTTGAAGGTCGTACCTGAAAGGCAGGCCTCTCATCCCGGGCGAATTCTGGTTCAGTCGAGTGGTGCTGAGGCACCATCCGGGATCTGGGAACAAGCCTCCTCAACCTGAAGGCAAATTGTGTGTGGGTCTGTACTCTCTCTCTCTCTCTCTCT